GGAGAGGAGAGGAGAGGAGAGGAGAGGAGAGGAGAGGAGAGGAGAGGAGAGGATAAAAAAAGCAGGAAAAAATGAACAGAACAAAAACAGTGAATTAATCAACAATTTATTTTCATTGCAATTATTACAGCTAAAGCTTTAGCTTATTTATCAATAGATAAGCATCTTGTCCTTCCAAWTAAAGTATAGATTTTAAGCTTTTAGAGCAATTTTAACAATCTTATCATATATGGTTAAATTATAAACGATATGGCTGTATAATAGGCTGGTCTTGTTCCGTGTGGTCATCAGAGATTGTCAATTGAGGGATCAGATATGCACGATGCTTTCCACGTTCGTCTGCTAGTTCGTGTTGTTWATAGTTTCTTAACTATAGCATCTCATTTGCCGCGCAGCACTACAGACTATGCTCCGGAAACAGTCAGCATCTAGATCCGTCCCATGCTGAAAAACAAGGGTTGAAACGCTTAGTTTTAGTAAATATTGAATTTATATACAAAAACGTTTGCCCGTCGCACGAGTCGAGATATAAACCCGAGAAACGAAAAATAGCTAACAATATTAGACTTTGTCTGACTTAACTTATAAAAAATGCGAGTCGAACATAATAAAGCAGTTTATAGACAATGAATAATTACATTTTTTTAAATTGAGGGTAATTTTAATCTCRAAACTGTAAATTATCTCTGGAGTCGTGGTTTATCTTTGAAAAAACTSTGCTTAAATTTATAGCGCGATCCGCATTTATTTCTCAATAGAGAGTTTTAGATTGACATTTTTTTCTCCCCGCAAACGGCAAACGTGACCACGTTTTCATCATTTTCCTGTAATTTACTTTACCTTTTACAAACCTTCTCACCAAGCGCAAATACTCTTTTGTTTTTCTACTACTTGGACTTTTTTGCGATTCTTTTTCAGTAATTCAAAATGATTTTTTACTKGTCAACTGACGTTTCACGTTTGCCGTGAACGTAAATCTAAAACTCTCTAATATTCCGGGAGTTACCTGGCAAGAGTTGATGGAGTTTCGCTTTCCTTTGTTGACCCTCGCGAGATTGCGAATTCCTAAGGCCCTGTCTGTTGAAAGAACCAAAACAAGAAACGCAAAGACGAAAACCATTTTCATTGCTGCTGTCATACTTAGAAGCTAAGCTAGAAGATGCGAATTTTTATAACTGGCTTGGAATGAAAYGAATCTTTCATCTAATTTAACCGCTGTTTTATACCCTAGACTGAACCATATCGAAGTCGGAAATTTTCTTTGATACAAGAGGTTATTCTCAACACTTCATTAAATCATTTACTACTTGAAATTTTCCATGCCCTTAGTTCCCACTAAAGTTCAGTACTTAATTTGTATGAGACTACGGTTGAGACTAAAGCACTCATACGTCAAAGGATTGTCCTGAAAAAGCCGACTAGATTGATCTTATATTGCTAAAGGCAAACGTTATCATGCTTGAAGAGGTTGGTTGGTAAGTTGAGGGTGTTTCCAAGATGGAAACCTTCAAGAATAACTAGTTTTGAAGTGAATAAGATACAGGGAATGCGATGCAGATTAGGAGATTACGAAATATTGCTTCGTAATCAAAAGAATCAGCAATTAATTTACTTTTTATCAACTGTTTTTTGTTGTTGCTAGAAATGCGCTTGCTACATCAAGCGAGACTAGGCAAAAATAGCTAGATATGCTTTATCTGATATATTTGCAAAAACAACAACAACAACAAAAGCAATAATAATAATAAAAAATAATAATAATAATAATAATGATAATAATAATAATAATAACGGTTTAATGATGACATATCTACAGAGTAGCTTTACATTCATCATGAAATCACAAAAAAAAAACACGAAATTACAAAAATCATATATGTCGGATTAACAATATCAACATTTTACCTTAAATTTTAAAAAGATGGGGGGAAAATGTGAATTCTAATGTTATTACTGTTTATATAGATATGAATTCGGTGTTCTTAATGTTCATTTTCAATTCTTTTTTGAGCTCTTTCTTTCAAGATTTTATATATTTTGTTTGAAAATACTTTAAGGCTTGTTTCGTTCTTTAGTTCACAAGGTAATTAATTAAAAAGTTTAGCTGATGGGTCTTGAAACGTTCCTACTATAAATGGAACAGTAAGTTGGACTGATGAGCTAGACCTCAATGTTCTGTTTTCTTTTTGTTCTAACTTGACGTAAGATGGCCATTAAATCCTTTTTCTGCAAAAAATCCTGAAAATTAGACTTGCTCAGTCAAAATTTGGGAAAAATGTGAAAACCTTCGAGTCCCAAACTCCAAACTCGAAAAAAACATCCAATATAGTTAATAAATATAAATCGTACGTTATATCGTATAGTCAACCTGATTGTGATTTAGTAACATGCCKTACTTCTAGGTAYAGRGATTGGGTCGAAAGRAATTCTARCAACTGGGAAATCTTCACAAATTTAGGGGAAAAAAGTTAAAATGAATATTTAAAATGTTTTTACACGGGCTGGAAACCTATATTAGCCATTATCTGTTTGCTTTCTCAAAATTGAGAGCTTTGGAAATAAAATATCTTGTGTTAAAAGCATAGCCTTCTTGCATGGGAGGAAAACCTATTAGTCATTATCTGCCTGCTTTGTCAAATGCCGACCTCCTTCAGCGAGTCTGTTTATGTTGAGATACGTCCCAAAGACCCCCCATTTGCTTAACAAGTCATGTGACCCCACCCCCTCTAACAAGGCAGTTTTGTCAAAATGATATCAGAAAAAGAGAGAGTACCTCGATATTAGAAAAAAGCTAACGTTTCAGCTCCGTCATCATGAGAAACATTCTATATATAACCTTTTTTGACGATTTTATAGCAATTTGTTTGGAAAGATGTTTGGTTTCCCATAAATTTTAGAAAAGGCTAGGCAGTCACGTGAATAACGGTCGCTAATGGTCTACAAGTTGATAGTTAAAGCAAAGTTTTTACGTGGGATTTAAACTGACAAAGCCACTTAGTAGGCCGGGTCATTTAACTTATGAAAAGAGGCTGTGCCGGTCTTGCACTCCACCTCATTAGAACGGATTTTTGGTGAAAATTGCTAATTGATTAAAACGTTTGAGAACCACCTGCATTGAYAAAGCTGGTTATGCTAAGTTTTCTCGACGCTTCGTGTGGAGAACTGCTATTCTTATAAGCACGAAATTGTGATATCTTTTAAGCAGAGACGTAGAATTAGTGTTTAAGGAAGGAAGGAAGGAAGGAAGGAAGGAAGGAAGGAA